CCCCAAAACCCCAAAACCCCAAAACCCCAAAACCCCAAAACCCCATCACAATAAAATATATTGAAGCAAATTAAATAATGGGACAAATACAAGCTCTGTCTTCTCTTAACACCAAGTATGACCTTCAGAGGCCTTCAACAGCTAGGCCTGAGGCTAAGCATGTAGATAAGCATTTTTAATGTGGTTTTGGAGGAAGGAATTATTGAAGAGATCTCTATCCCAGACCCTGACCTTACTGTTGGCTGGTTACTCAGCGAAGTCAGCAGGAGATATCAACACTATGCCAGGGAGAATGGTACAAAGAGGGCAGAAGAGAAGGTAGTTGTGGCTTTGAAATCTGCTGAATTTTACCCCACTCTTGACACTTACCTGGAAAGTTTAGACAATGTTATCGCTCCAATCAAGCACAATACTACTTTTGATGTTCATTTCGCGAAGTTAAGTGATCACCAGCAAAATTTTATTAAAATGGCAAGTGTTGGACCTGAAGACTTCGAATACCTCAAAGTTATAGGCCAAGGATCTTATTCCCATGTAGTGATTGCTCGGAAGAAGGATTCTGGCAAACAATATGCAGTTAAGGTTATAAAAAAGAAGCTGTTTAAAGAAGTGGGCAGAGAGACCTTTATCTCAGAATCTGAGATAAATAAGAAGTTTCAAGATACCCCTTTTGTTATAGATACATATTATGCTTTCCAAACTGAAGAAGAGATGTTCTTAGTAATGGAGTTGTGCCCTGGTGGCACTCTATTTGATTTTCTGAAAAGACTTCCAGGCTCTAATCGGGTTAACTTGGATATTGTGAGATTCTATATCGCAGAAATTATCATCTCGCTTGAGTTTGTACATGCTCAGAATGTTATGTACAGGGACTTGAAACCTGAAAATATTCTTATTGACTTAGATGGTCATATCAAGCTCTCTGATTTTGGATTATCAAAGGCATTAGAGTCTAGAAACCAAATGAGCGAAACCTTCTGAGGTTCACCTGAATATTTAGCTCCAGAGATGGTTTTTGGACTTAAACATACACGATCATTGGATTTCTACACCTTAGGATGTCTTGCTTACGAGATAATATTTGGGTATCCTCCCTACTTCAGCGACAATGTTGAAAATCTTGGTGAGAGATTACTTAAAGAGAAATTATATTTCCCAAGGGGGGTCAATAGAAATGCGAAAAATCTAATAAAATGGCTGCTAGAGAAAGATCCAGACAAGAGACCTTTGGAGTTTAGTGAAGTAAAGAACCATCCCTTCTTCGAAAAAGTTCATTGGGGTAAATTAGCTAAGAGAGAAGTTGCCCCTCCTTTTGTGCCTGATTTATACAAAGTTGATTTTGAGAGATGCTTTCTGGATATTCCGATAAACCAAGCTCTGAACATGGAATGCTTACCTGTGATAATTGAAGGAGATGAAGAGTCTGTAAGAATCGAAAGCTCTGCAAAGAAGAACTCTAATTCTAAATAATTACGCTAAATCTATGAGACTTGATAGGATAAATAGGAAAGTTGACATTGATCTCTCCAAAACAGTGCAGAAGGACAAGAATCCTGATTGGATAGGTAAATCAAAATATTTTAACAGCATTAATTTGGTTTTAGATGAATTTGATTTTGAGTCTCATCCTGAATCAGAAATAATGAACAGGAATCATCTTAATTTAGCTCTAAGAGAGAGTTTACATAGAAATGAAGATGCAATAACTAAGTTAAACACAATTTATGTACTTCCTTAGTGGTCTTACCTTCTAGAGTGATAATTTTGAAGAATTCGAAGATGAAATGAAGAATAATAACTCATGAATAATACTCCAAAGGAATATGGATTTTAAATTTAAAGACTTCAAAGAAGAGAATGATATATTCTTCCAAGAAACAAGGTATAACTCATTTCTGACGACCCATACACCCAGAAGAATGAAGCGAAGTTTGAGACAGTGAAAATCTGCTGACATCACTCTATATCTCGAGTAAGCTCTTTCTAATCCCTATAGTCAGGACATCCCTTTAGCTGAAAAAGTGCTAAAGAAGCCCAAGAATGGAGTGGGAGAGTAAAAACAGTGCAAATATGATGCAAAATAAATTTATTTCGTACACATGGCTTTCAACTATTTGCACTTAAAGAGGGGTTTTGGGGTTTTGGGGTTTTGGGGTTTTGGGG